CAGCATTGTGTTATTATACAGTTTGTATATGTCGGAGACGATTACCCAAGCTATTCGCCCCCGTTTCTCTGACTAATAGTATTACTAGAGGTCCCGCAGTAGTCGAAATTCGACTATAATTAATTGGAATTGTAAGTTTGTACACTATTATGATTGTATTTTATACTTCTATAATCACAAATTTCGCCAAGACTAACTATAAAAAATATTAACAAAGACAAACAATATTTAATCTATTCTCAATTTGACACAGACGTCAAAAGGATTTTGCGGGAACGCGAGGAGTGAAGTTGTGTGATTTGTTTTATTTTGTCTATTTAGTGTTTCTTCGGTTTAAATGTGTAATAATGGTGGTTTATTAACTGTTTAATATCTGTGAAAGTGCACAAATGTGGGAAAATGAAACAAAGCCGCTGGACGTAACTTCTCAGGATCCTCCAAAATGTCCACTGAAAAAATCTTAGTAAATGACCACCATTGCTATTATATTTCATCCCATATCATCTTTCATTTAAATTTCATCCCAGTTGATTAATGTCTCAAATTAATCATCTTCATTTCATTTCACTCCATAATATCATTTTTCATAAAAATATGAATATAAATTAAAATAAGACATGACTTAAAGGTCTCAGTTACCAGGTCATAAAATCCCTTAGTACAAATACATGGTATGTAGTGTGTGTAATGTTTTCTTTATTGATTTAATGTATCTTTTATGCATTATTTAAAAAAATATTAGCATTGTGCACTTCTTCTCTATATTCTCTATAAGTGTGGAAAATTTCATACTCCTCCGTCCGCGCAATTTTCGTAAAAAGGGATACAAAGTTTTTGCTTACTTTTTGATTTTATGACCTGGTAACTAAGACCTTTAAGTCATGTCTTATTTTACTTTATATTCTTAATTTTATAAAAAATGATAATATGGAGTGAAATGAAATGAAGATGATTAATTTGAGACATTAATCAACTGGGATGAAATTTAATGAAATGAGATGATATGGGATGAAATATAATCGCAGTAAAATGGTGGTCATTTACTGAGATTTTTTCAGTGGACTTTTTGGAGGAACCCGAGAAGTTACGTCCAGCAGCTTTGTTTCATTTTCCCACATTTGTGCACTTTCACAGATATTAAACAGTTAATAAACCACCATTATTACACATTTAAACCTGAAGAAACACTAAATAGACAAAATAAAACAAATCACACAACTTCACTCCTCGCGTTCCCGCCAAAAAGTCCAAGGTTTTTGCTTCACGTGTTAATATATAGATTATATGTTTGTATTTTTCGGGAGTCGGAGAGTTAACTAAAAGACTAATTTCATATCAAGTTACAAATATTAACTGTAGCAATAAAGAATTGTAGACGAATTATGTTTACGTCAAATCATATTTATGGACTTCTTTCTTCCCAGTTTTTTTTAATAATTTTATGACCTGGTATCTCTTCTCAGTCGTTGGCCTCATTGCAATGTCATTGCCAACGGCTAGTGCTGTCAGACAATCTGATGGATTATTGTGAAATTAGATGAACGTAGATCGAACACACTCATATTTATAGAGCTCTTACTTACTCTTACATTTAACGAGTTTAGTATACATAAAAGATTGTGATCGAATACAATAAAATTTTATATGTGTAAGTAATGTAAATTGTGTATTAATCTGATGCGTCCATCAACAGACTTAATGAGTCCACCGCATAGGTTTCAGTAATAGCTTTACGGTGGGCAGCGGCTTGGCTCTGCCCATGGCATTGCTGACGTCCATGGGCGACGGTAACCATTCCCCATCAGGTGGGCCGTATGATCGTCTGCCTGCCTACTACCTACCTATCTTGACAAATCATGTTAAAATAGTATCCATTATAGATAGTGTGAATAATGGATTTATTACTTTCATTATACTCTGTTTAAACAAAGAATGTTGCAAGCAAGAGAACTAATCAGGTTTATTGGCCTGAAACGCCATTAAACTAAAAAGCTTACAAAGTTATAATGTTTGCCTTCTTTTAGGTACCTACGTAGCGCAATGCATTTTTAACTAGCGCCCGTAAGTGGCACCTAGAGTGCACCGAGAATAGTTTTTAACACAATTACCCTGTGCTCGTCTGAATTCGAAATTGGGTTTCGGGAATTTACGATAGGTACGATTTTTAAAAGGTTTCTTGCTCTTGGAGAATGTAAATTAGATTTATATGTATTTTCGGAATTACAAATTCATAAGTCAGAATAAATGAAGACGTGAGTGGATTAAGGGGCTAAGTACCATTATTAAGAGTACTTACAATTTTACATTGAATGAACAAGCTATAGCGCTCAGGAAACACCGTGGAGAACAGCTCATTCCAAAGCCGGATGATACGTGGCAAAAAAGATCTCTGGCAACGCACCGTGGATGACCGCAGTGGCGCCAGGTAGTATGGATGAACTCTACTCCGGTGGCAAACGGTGCGATGGTAAAAACGAGATGATGGAATCATCTCAAAGAATTCTTCAAAGGATTGGATTATTTTTTAATGTCTTAACATATTTAATTGTATTTATGTTGTTATGTACCAGCGCCAAGTGTCTTCATCTATCATATGATCCTTCCCAATTTTCATTATAATTCACCCTTAATCCATCAAATTAGAATATCAATATAGAGCATGAATATTGAAACATTACACTATTAAAAAATCATCACAACAGCTGAGGAGAATGAAACGAGACACAGTAACAAACGTCTTTATTGTTTACTGACAAATTCGTGGCCACATCGTATACGTCGGGGTGCTGAAGACTGGTGTGACGTCATCTCTTGCAGCGAGAAACCCGCTTCAGAACCCTCTTCAGACCAGCAAAGTAATGTATCACTTGCTCCTGAAAATTTCATATCCTTTGGCATGAGAACAAAGTCTCGGAGACCAAGCGATAGCGTTAGATGTTAGATAGCTTGTGATCAGGGGTAGGTGGCACTACCCAGACGCCATTCGAAGGTTGGAGCAGTTTTTGTCCTATAGGACTTATGGCTTAAAGTTGTTAAAAATAAAAATAAAAACAGTGCGCGTGCAACTTGGTGCACGTGAATGAAGTGAAACTTCTTATTTGATGGGTACGTATTATTGTGGTTTTCGTTAATATTTCATTCTTAAATCAGATTGCTGACCCGGCAGACTTCGTAGTACCTCAATCGATAAATAAAAGACCTAAACTTTTGTATAAAATAAATTTAAAACAAACAAAAGGAATTCGTCGGACGGGGGATACATCAAAGGAAAAACAAAATTGTTACTTTTATTTAATTCCGAGCATTTTCATATTTATCTACCTTTTAAACCTTCTCTGGACTTCCACAAATAATTCAAGACCAAAATTAGCCAAATCGGTCCAACCGTTCTCGAGTTTTAGCGAGACTAACTAACAGCAATTCATTTTTATATTTTTTTTAAATTATAGATAGAAAAATAAATTTAAAGATATATTTTTTGTAATAGGACACTACGCGCGTACGTTCGTGTGCCACGCATTCACTCTCGCTCTGTCTCTTTCTATTCCATAGTTTAACGCTAAACGTTTAACGCAACCTTGTTGGAAGTCGCATTAGAAGTTTCACTTCAAAAGCAAATATTTTCAAAATCTTATATAACCGTACCTGCATTAAATTAAAGCACATCGCGACCAGGGCCATGCCCAGCATGAGGTACATGGAGCACGCAATGAACGACGTCTCAATGCGAGGCGTGTAGACCCTTTCTCCGGGCACAAAATCGCCGAAACCGATACTGGAATAACGAGACGTATTCATAGTTGATGCACGCGTGTATACAAACGAGTCCATTCTAAGGCAGCTAGACATCCGAAAAGGCTCTCTTCCATCTGCCGGGAACGTGTTATGAGCTTCTTCGTACACATCGTAGGCTGCGGCTTGGCTCTGCTCCTGGCATTGCTGAAGTCCATGGGCGACGGTAACCACTTACCATCAAGTGGGCCGTACGCTCGTCTGCCTACAAAGGCAATAAAAAAAACATCATGCGGTCTCCCACACATGAATTTGAGAACATCTAGCAAGAGAAGCACTTGGTGGTAGTCTGTACCGTGCAGTCCATGCCACCCATGATCGAGCACAGTGGAAGAACGTCACATGTGGTCGCGATCTTCAGTAGTGAGGGAACGATATAGAAGAAGATACATTGGATCTCCTCGGAGCTGGTCAAAGTCGCGATATAACCCGAAAGAGACGAGTTGCTTTGGCCACTCTCTGTGTCCGATAAACTGCTAGTCGATTGGCAAAAGTGGAGTATTAAATTTAAAGTAATTTTACAGTTTGATCTCGCATGTTTTTGTTATCATCATGTTACTTGCGAAGCTTCGAATACTGCACAGTTTTGTTGGTCACGTAAAAGTAGTTTTAATTAGGTTATTTTGACTGGCGAAAAGCGAAGAACATTCTAGTAGTTTATGCTTTAATATAAGCGTATGTTATAAAGCATCTTCGTGCAAAATTCCTTCAAAATCCCGTTCTGCTCTATAGGCGTGATTTTTTAACAAACTAGACATACAGATTGTCACACTTATAACCCTAATACAGGGATATTACTTAACAGAGAATTTTAGTCATTTTTTTATTTAACTTTGCGATCTCCGTGCCCCTCTGCGGAAATAGGCTAGATAGTGTTTAAGTGTTTGTGACCTCACAATGGTAGGGTACTACCACGACTAATGAGATTAAAAAAACAAGAGGGAATCCAAGAAAAAGTCTTAATACCCCTTAATGAATACTGGACAAAAAAAACAGTGCTCCTTAATTATTTTATCTCTGCAAATTCTCATAAACAAATATGTGATTAAATCAACAAACCGATCTTACCTACTGAGCGATATGAAACAGAAGTACGCGCCGTCCAGCTGGTCCCAATTCTCCCACATACCGAACAGCATTGAGCCGAATATTATATACCTGTAAATACTAGACTTCTGAAAGAAACTTCTAGTGGCGGTTACTACTGCAAAAAGTTTAATGGCTAAGTTCTTTAAGCAACTATTACATATTACGGACTGACACCACAGTTTTTTGATAAAAAAGAAAGTCGATGTTGTCGTACTCGCGTTCCCATATATCCTAGACAAAAATGTTTGTAGAATTGGGATCGTGGCACATAAAATAATTTTGTTTACTCATCTTTTCCTAAATCTTCTTTATTATAATAATTAAAAATCAACTGACATGCCTTTACGCCTTGCTAATTTTATTGTTTTCGCCATCTTCCTTTTCTCTGTCGTTCTGTCTGTCATTCTCTTTTCCTTTTCCTATCGTTTTCTCTCACTCACATCTTAACGATCCGTTCCACACTCTTTTCATGCATTCCGTTCTTATCAAACCTATATGTGTAATGATCAAAATCACCAAAACTTCTCATTTAATATTTCAGATATTACGATTATACCAATTCCCCATACCCCACCAAAGCAGTGTTGGCTTCTGCCAATAGGGTTTGCTGCCTTAACAGTACATTTTAGAAGATATTTTACCATGTACCATTTGCACTGATATATTGATACAGTTGTCTGGATCTGGCCGATGATTACTGATGTTAGGTCCAAAATTAATATTAATATTTTGGAAAACTTTATATTTTATATTTTACTCGTGGTAGGACCTCTTGTGAGTCCGCACGGGTAGGCACCACCACACTGCCTATTTCTACCGTGAGCAGTAATGCGTTTCGGTTTGAAGGGTAGAGCAGCCGTTGTAACTATACTGAGACCTTAAAACTTATATCTCAAGATGGGTGGCGCATTTGCATTGTAGATGTCTATGGGCTCCAGTAACCACTTCACACCAGGTCACGTCCAGCTAGATAAGCAATAAAAAAATATTTGGAAAATTATAATATTAATATTTTCGACCTATGGTCAGTAAATCATCGTAATAATTCTAATTCCAATATAATTCCTGCCAAGAGACTGACTTACCCAACCATAATACATACGCAGACGCTGATCGGCACGGTGATCGTTTGAGCATCGAAAGTGACATAGCTAAATTCGCTGGTGCCCTCCGAGTCCGTCCTGAAGGCGAGGGGCTCCGACCAGCCCCGCGGCTGTGCTGGGAGCACCTCCCGCCTCTCCCAGGGCTGAGGCATTGACGCACTGCGGAAGTAATCTGGCCTTCTAGAGAAGGAATAGCCAGAGTAAATTTACAAGCTTACAAACAAAAATGCAATATCTCTGGTCCGAATGTATTTAATGTACCGATATTGAAATCCGCTTCTCATTAATTTGATCTCAAAATTTATAAGTAGTTGTTAATTAATTAGTCATTAAGAATAAGGAGTCTTCTCGCCAACAAACCGAAAAGTTTGGCGAGTTCATAATTATAGATTTATAAGGTATTAGAGGTACGATTAGGGTTTAAAAACTTTTATAAAAAAAAAACGGTTAAATCTCAAACCGAAGTAACAATTAATTTCATCTTTATTTTTTAACCTGTTGATGTTGGATTACAGAGCGAAGTTAATGTTAAAGTTAATAAATAATTATTGTATTGTCATCGAAACTTGATGCGAGTACAAATATTCAAGTTAATCGGGCGTCTTCAATTCGGAAACTTACATACACATAATAAGCTAATAAACGTATGCTAAAAATGGATATTTTTAAAGCCTTCTGTGTTTTAGAACAACAAATCATAAAAATTTATCATTCAAAATGTCAATTATGTTAAATAATCTAAGGAGGTACTTTTGATTTCAATTTGTATGTGTTTGTTTTTGGACGCTCTAAATTAATACTCTACCTTTGAAAATCCCTAGCATTCGGAGGAATTCTGTATTCTGGAGTGCAGTCAGAATCTAAATACCCAGACCTCCAGTGTGGAGGTCGCTCAATACTTTCAGCGTCACTTATATCCAACTGCAAAGTCAAAATGTATTTTTTACAACAATTCTAAAGTCAAAAGGTTGTGACTATGGAAATCTGTTTGTACTAAATACCTGCTGTCTAAATCTGGCAGCACGTCTTTTGGTGAATCCTGGACATCCCCTGCAGTGGCAAACCAATGCATAGATGCATTTGAACCACCGAGCTAGGAGCTCTCCTGAAATACCATTACCCGTAGGATAGTCCTATTTATTTGACAAGATTTTCTAATTAAGGCCACCCTACGAATCAAATCCGTAATTGTTTGGTGGAAGAATAATATTATGAAACTGAGTATCCGTGCTTAATACGTCCTATTGAAAATTCATTAACTGGCATACATATTGGCCGTATTTTAACACCGATATGCACGCTTAATCCTAATATTAATCCTGTCACAAATTAGTTAAATAAACCAGTTATAAAAACTATATAAATCAGATAAGAGGGCATGCTACGCTAAGCCCTTGTAGGAGAATGAGGGCGGGAAGAGATAGAAACAACAAATGAATTAACTTACCAAGATTAGTTAAATACAGGAGGAACAGAGGCATCCCAAGAAGCGTGTACAATATTGTTACCACTTTACCCCAATTCGTTCTGGGCGATAAATGACCGTATCCTGAAATTAAAACTGTGTTTTGAAAATCCCAAACATTGATTACCAAAATAAAAAAATATTTGCATGTGCTAATTGATAAAACAAAACCGTTATTTTGAACCGAAAAAAATGAATTTGCTTAAAATGGGAGAACACATTAATCAAATTGGTTTTACTTTAGGCGAGATAACACAAAAAGTAGCTGATGTGAATTGTTTATCTGTGCCCGAACCTATAGTTGTGATAACAGTGAGGGAGTACAGGAAAGCCGAGGAGAAACTCCATTGCCTCGACGATCGGCCTCCGTCCCAACCGTGACGCACAGCGAACACGATTTTCTTTTGATAATGTATTAGTTCTATAGTAATCCTGAAAATTATCATAGAAAACATAAACCTTCGAAAATTTACAATTTTCTTTTTTAAATATGATTTTAGAATTAGACAAAATGCAACTTTAGCATATCAATAGGCAAATTACGTAGGTAAACAAAAAAAGATATGTGGTGTCGAGGGACACCGGATAGGAACAAAGATCCTTATTATAAAAATTTTAATTTTAAGTTTTATTCGAGGTATAAAGAAAATAAAACTGGAGGTTTCGCAACGACCCACGGTCATTCGGTAACATGCAAACTTATTGTGGTACACTTCATTCACGGTTGTTTGCTTAAGAGTTAGTGTATTGCGCAAACGTACGCTCTGAGATCGTGGTCAATGAATGATAAAAAATATGTTATTTTTTGTACGTTATTACAAAGTTAATTCGTACACTGTGTGCATTACTAATAAAAATCTTACGTTACGGACGTTTTTTCCCGGTTAGGGTACCCCTCCGAATAGTCCCATAAGGAACTTCGTTCCAAAAACTATATTATGCTTTGGTAAGAAACAAAAATAAACTAAAGAACTATAAATACTTCGAATCGAGAACTTTTTTAATGAAATATAAAATGCACACACGATATAGACTATTTAAAGAAAAATTGACGAATTTTGTGGAAATCACCTCTCTTTCATAGCAGTCTCGTTGAACAAGTTGAGTGCTAGAGTAACGTTCTGCCAAAGGTTCTCAGCTGTGTTGTTCCTTTCTAACGCCATATGTGTCATTCTTTCCATCTCGCTCTCGCCTTCTATAGCTTGGAACATAAACGCACCTGCAAGAGGAATTATTAGTCCTTCAAATTTCAAGTATCTTGAACCGGAGCCACTTTCGTTACGATTTGTGTGGTGTGTTTTGTCTACCGTGGTAAGTACAAGTGTAAAGGTATCGTGCTATCTCTAAAACGCATTTAATTTTAATTGACGAAATGGAAAATTCCACACTGGCGTGTAATATATAAAAATATAAACTATATCAAGCATACTACGAATAAAGGAACAATAAATTGAATACAAAAAATAGTAGGTATTTAAGTTCACAAATTATTTAAATTAAAAAAATAAATAAATTGTAATTCAAGTTTACGAAAAGAAATATAGGTACGTCCAACAGTAAAAATAATATAAAGTACCCTTAAACTCAAACGTTTTGTGTACGTATGTAATTTATCATTTTAGTCTAGACTCCCAGTTCATTTTAGATGACAATCTGAAAGTATAATGAAGATTAGATAGATATTCTTTTCAAAACACTAACATGAAGCTTGACATAATCTTCAGTGAAAGTATTGTCATTCAATCCAGGGCCCTGAAACTGCAATACTTTAAGACTTTTTTTTGTATGGCAATTAGCGACATCTTGTAGCGGATGCCCCTAAACCTATATTTGTTAAAGTTAAGGCATTTAATTATTGTATAGCTAAATACAGAAAATAAAAAACTAATAAATCATACAAGTGCTTATTTGATAAAGACTACAAAATACTCTATTAAAAATAAAATATAGGATAGGTAATATTTTACTGGCGGCTACAGGGGCAATGAGAAACTAATCGAAACGAAGCCATCTAGTGGCCGACGCCCGTAAACTTTTTTTTTGAGTGCTTGAGTTGCTTATCTATAACTAATTTATGTGTATTATCTATGATTCAATCTTTGAACTACATGATCTACGGAGCGTAAAACACAATCAAAATAAACAAATTATCACAGACAAATTGAAAAAACCTAGTCTTTTATACAGCATTATACTTGAACTAAAGTACTGTTCCGTTAATAAATCAGCACTTCCAACAATCAAATTCCAATGTCGAAGAGAGCTATTTAAAACCCTTTTTATAACCAGAGACAAAAATAACTAAGCCGTATTTTAATGTATACTGAGTGTCAGGAGACCGCTTCCGAAAACGGAGAGACGATAGTACTAATGACACCTTTGATGATGGGACGGAAAAAAAATTTCAGTGTTGGTTTTTTTTTTAAGTAGAGTAATGTATTTTTTTTATGAAACTATCGTCTCATTTAGCTGTACTAGCATTATGGAGCGTAAATAATGCTAATAAAACGTTTTAATAAAAGTTTTTTTTTTTTTTTAATTAGGATCGATTTTTTCCGTCGCCATCATTAAAAGCGTCATTAGTACTATCGTCTGTCTTCATTTTCTGAAGCGGTCACCTAACATCCAGTGGCGCATTTACGTCGTAGATGTCTATGGGCTCCAGTAACCACTTAACACCAGGTGAGCTGTGAGCTCGTCCAACAATCTACACAATAAAAAAAAATAGGCTATACAACAAAAAATAAAGAATATATTTATTAAGTATTTCAAAATCACTTAAGGTGAGGAATATCTGCTCGTCTTTTCGTCTATAAAAAGAAGACAATAATGTCGTCAAAAAGCAATCTGACTAGCAGCATCTTTTAAATTGGCCCGTCTACCACAGAAAATGTATTAAGAATATTACATTTTTAATTTAGTCCGTTTACGGCGCAAAACTAAACAACTCAACGTCACACTTAATGTCGCCAGAATAACATAATTTTAATTTCCATCCAGAAGATTATTTGATGTCGGATTTAAGGGTCGGCGTATACAGTCGTATTTTAACAGTACTTAGGGGCATTATATGTATATAGAAAAACTCATATAAAATTATAATAGTGTCGAAACACAAAGGTTTATAAACTTCGCCTTGACAAATAATTAGGAGCCCGCAAGCCTAATCTGCGACATCGTGTGTATAAATTTCAATTGATGGGTCCATATAGAGGCTAAAATCGAATCTAATAATAAAAATATAATAAAAACGAGCGGTAAATTCATTTTTATCATAATATACCTTAATAAAGTACAATTATTATCTATAGAAACTTTTTTATTGCTTAGATGGATGGACGAGCTCACAACCCACCCGGTGTTAGGTGGTTAATGGAGCCCATAGACATCTACGACGTAAATGCGCCACCCACCTTGAGATAGTCGTCGCTGAAGTCGTCGTGGCCTAACGGATAAGACGTCCGATGCATTCGTGTTGAGCGATGCGCCGGTGTTCGAATCTCAGGCGGGTACCAATTTTTCTAATGAAATACGTACTCAACAAATGTTCGCGATTGACTTCCACGGTGAAGGAATAACATCGTGTAATAAAAATGAAACCCGCAAAATTATAATTTGCGTAATTACTGGTGGTAGGACCTCTTGTGAGTCCGCGCGGGTAGGTACCACCATCCTGCCTATTTCTGCCGTGAAGCAGTAACGCGTTTCCGTTTTGAAGGGCAGGGCAGCCGTTGTAACTATACTTGAAGTCCTATGACCAGTAACCGACTGAGGTTAATATTTTGAGTTTAATCGCAATATTCTAAGATATTGTGGTTTTCTATGAAACTTGAAAATAAATACAGAACACACATAAATTTTGTTCATTTGTGCTCTTTGTAAGGTAAAAAAGATCGTGAAACAATTGTTTTTTTAAGCATACAAATTCTTCGATTATCTCCTCACATTCTTACGAGACGTATAAACATGTTTAGATTTGTCTGAAAGTCGGTTTTTTTTCGTCTCACGTTTCAATATTGCCCATCTTGTCTGACCTTTATCAAATTGTATGAAGGCAAACAAGATATTCTGTATCAAAAACATGAAATGTGTCCGAATGTTTCGACATGGCTGTATACGTTTTTGTGTAAGATCAGATCGCTAAAATCAGGTATAATTGAACACGAAATCCTTATTATTCTATCAATTCACTCGGAGGCAGTAATAGATGCTACGTGGAACTTTGGTATACTAGCCCTTTATATGTGGGCTCTACCTTCGAAAAGACCGCCGGTCCAACGAACCACGCGGTACAAGCTAGACAGGACCTTAAAAAAATTTAGAGATGGATGGATGGATGGGTAGATATTACCTACCCATCGGTAGACCCATCCATCAATCTTTAAGTTTTACCTGGGTATAGGGTCTGAATACAGCCGTAACACGGAAGAACATGATTTCGCAAATCTAAGACACGGTAAAAAAAAATAGAATTTCTACAAAACAAAAATTATGAAAACAACGACTTATAAAGAAGCATCCCAAGCACGTAATAGTCTAAAATTATAAATAGTCTTTAACTATTGAACTAACAAGTGGAAAATTCTGAAATCGAGGTGCGGATATATAGTCGGATTTTTAATTAGACGAAGCCAGCTGACAGTAGCTAATGTCACTTTGTGAAATAATGTTGCTATATTTAAAGTAATAGTGATGCGTTCAGTTCTCGTTCAATCACATGAATGAACAATGAGTGTGAAGAGTTAATCATTAATTTCAAACTATAAAAGAATATTATTTATATTATACAATAAAATTGTATTAAAGTGCTCCAATATATGTTACTAGTAGTATGTAACTACAATTAGTTTTTTTTTATTTTCATTACATACCTATAATTGTTATATTTTATACATCTATAATTTCAACTATATGATGTATTGGAAATAGGACAGTCTTACAAGCTTCCTCGCAATGTTTTTCTTAATGTTTAAAACACTCGGTATTCAGTACAGGTAGATACTATAGGAACCTAATATTTCGTCGAAAACTCATTGGTATGTACAAAGCACACCTAAAATTTGAACCCCGTACCCGATATCGGCAATTCGGCACACCAACTATTCACTAGACAATCGAGGCAATTTCATTAATTCAGGAGTTTTTTCAATCGTTCACTTTGTCACAACACTATTTTTATTTCATCAAAACCTGACAACACAGTAAACGTCAGTTGACTTCGTCTAATAAAAAATCCGACTATAGATATTTGAACTAAACTTTCAATATAAACAACCTTAAAGACTACTCATTTAGTAGTTTGTCGGGAGAAAAAAAACCAGATATTATCACAATTGGAACACACTGTACATAATAATATGCGGAATTAGTAAAATGAAAAGATATATTTAAAAAGTAATAAAGTTTTTATTGCGTGTAGCCGGCCTTACGATTGTGATATCAAAAGGCTGTTTGCGGCTCAATTATTCAGCCTCCCCTAAAGAATTACAAAGAAAACCACCCCATGAAGCAGGGTGTTAAAGTTAAAAGGACCCAGCGGACCGTGACTCGCGGCTTTTCAACCTATCTAATGACGTGTAACGAGTCCTAATCTCATTATTGTAAAAGAACATTCTTAACACTCTCTTGCAATTTATTCATAATTTTTGCCTAAACTCCTGTTTAAAAATAATGACAGATGAATTTTAAAAAACCCTGTCCTTGCACTTACCGACAAGGAATTCGAAGGGCCCACGGCTTATATAAGATTGATTCTAGTACACCAAATAGAATAGGATCGAAATAACGGCTATGTTGATGTTCAAATCCTCAAGCTTTGTCTAGGAATAGGCATGACGAAATTTGTCCAATGAAGATAATTAAATAACTATACCGCGCTACTGAAACGAAACTTGGATTTGTTTTAATTTACGGCCTGAATTAATAGCCCCATCTCTTCTTGTGGCTTATCATATCATCATCAGCGTATAGCAGTGTCTATAGTGTGCAATTGGGAAGGCCTATCTCCAGCAGTGGACTGCCTTGGCTGATGATGATGATGAATTGCTCTAAGCTAGGATTCACTTTATCCAAGCAACCCGCAACCATGGGCCCAGCAGAAAGAAGCGCTTATAGCAGTGCCTATAGCATGCAATTGGAGAAGTCTATCTCTAGCAGTGGAGTGCTATAGACTGATGGTGATGATGATCATGATGACGAATCAGCCCAAACTAGAGTTCCCTTTAACCAAGCCACCCGCAACCATAGGCCCAGCAGTAAGAAGCGCTTATAGCAATGCCTATAGCGTGCAATTAGATAAGTCTATCTCCAACAGTGAACTACTATAGACTGATGATGATGATGATGATCATGATGATGAATTACCCCAAACTAAGATTCCCTTTAACCAAGCAACCCGCAACCATGGGCCCAGCAGTAAGAAGCGCTTATAGCAGTGCCTATAGCGTGCAATTGGAGAAGTCTATCTCCAGCAGTGAACTGCTATAGACTGATGATGATGAATTACCCAAAACTACGATTCCCTTTAACCAAGCGACTCTGGGCCCAGCAATCAGAAAACTACTGCGGATCAAACTAGCTTTCCCATAATAAATATAAAATCTTAACTACAGCCAAAACTCACCAGCTATAGTATAAGCGACGACGAGTACAATGACCCCGACATTGCTGAAGAGGAATGACAGGAGACCGCGTATGTAGGCTCTAATACGCGACGCGAGCCTGCGCTTTCGACGGGGCATAGCTTCTCATCGTGACGACCGCGGCCGCGCGTCGCTCGCACCCACACGCATCGCTGCACCTCTCATGTCATCCGGAAGACTTCTGAAAATAAATAAGTACCTTAGAGAAGCATTACTGCTGGTTACAAAAATGAATCAAAACATTCATAAATAAAACTATAGTGACTATAGTTATTGGCATAGACGTTTTTCTGTGTATTTTCAGGTTACAAAATGCTTTCTTTCTAACCTCGTCCAAAAAATTGTGAAAATAATTGAAAAGATCAAAATCGTTGAATCCATATTAGAATATTTCACATTTATTTTATACTTAATATGCAATAATAATTTTTACTGGTGGTAGGACCTCTTGTGAGTCCGCACGGGTAGGTACCACCACCCTGCCTATATCTGCCTTGAAGCAATAATGCGTTTCGGTTTGAAGGGTGGGGCAGCCGTTGTAACTATACTGAGACCTTAGAACTTATATCTCAAGGTAGGTGGCGGCATTTACGTTGTAGATGTCTATGGGCTTCAGTAACCGCTTAACACCAGGTGGGCTGTGAGCTCGTCCACCCATCAAAGTAATAAAAAAAGTGTTAAAACATAATTAAGATATGAAATAATCGACTACCCTCAAAAACCGAATACATTTTAAAACAAATTTAATCCTAAGTTAACATCAAAAGACTTTGACCTTTGTAAAGCTGAAAGTTTAAAAACCGCTGTGTTCGATATTTACCTAACGCCAGATTAAATAAATAATTCAAAAGAAACCCTATTTTTGGAGAGTTTTATAAACTAAAATACATTATGCATTCTAAAAAAACTTTCCAGACATTGTTTTTTAATTTGATTTATGGCTTTCATTTTCATAGCATTCGTATCGCAAGTATATATTATAAGCTGATAGCCTTGAGAGGCTATTCCAGCGTAACCTTAACTAGTAGGTGAGCTCACGGGGCTCAAACCTGACAGTATATTGCAAGTAAGTACATAGTCAATAGAATTGCTATTCACTCCAACGAGATCTTAAAATAGAAATAACATTGGGTCCGTTTTATTAATGTAAATTAATTATTATCTATACTAATCTATACTAATATTATAAAGAGAAAAGATTTGTTTGTTTGTTTGTATTGAATAGGCTCCGAAACTACTGAACCGATTTAAAAAATTCTTTCACTGTTTGGAAGCTACACTATTCCCGAGTGACATGGGCTATAATCTTTTTTGAAAAAAAATTAAGGAACCTTACTAAACCTCCATTAATGTAACCCAAGGTGTAAAAAAATTACCTAAAACATTATTTACATCGCATGCCCTGCGAAAACTATTGATGATAGATTAAAATAATGTACTACGACTTTGTAGAACATAATATTATTTACCGAAAGTGTCGCGACACGATATGTCTAACTATTATAGATATGCCGCTATAAGTGTTCTTTTATTAAAAAAAAATAAAACAACGTCAAATACCGTTGAAATTTTCGTTAAAGACCCGAGCGGAGCCGGAGCGGTCCGCTAGTTGTAAATACGAAGAGAACTCGTGTCGATACATTTAATTTTAACGTTCGCAAATATTATTGTACCTCATTGGAGTACTCTTTAAACTCGCACCATCTGGCCACTGTACGTATAAATAATTGGTTGAGAAAAACAAAAAAAAAAGGTTTAAAACCATTAAAATGTGTAACATTAACAGTACGATTCAGAATTGATCTGTTCTAAAACGGACACGGCAATTACAATAAATCAATGTTAACTGACGGGTTAGCGTTTGATTAACCGTTCGGAGAAGTTACGGCGATCAATCAATGCGATGGGTTAAAGGACTTAGCGTTACTAGATTAATGTTACGAATGAATCGATTTTGGAACATCATCATTGTAAACATTGTATAGGAAAGATTTTCCTAGTTTTCCTATACGCGATTATAATAGACAATAAACCAGAGGCACAACCAAGCGTAGGTTAGAGTAAACAGGTTTTTAGAACAGCTTAAGATAATACGTTTCTCGCAAAAATCAAAGGCGTGTTATCAATGACAATAGTGGTTTTAGTTGACAGCGATAATCTTTGGTACGGCGCGGCGAGACGATAGAGCGAATTTCAAATGATAAGAAAATCTCTCAGTAGTCACATTTCAAGCGATCCGTGAGACCAGGATTATTGACAAATTGAACAGTCTTCGTATGTCGTTTTGATATTGATAATTTAATAGATTGACTTCACTTTTTCCACAATGTATTCCACAACAAAGAAGATTTTCACTAAAGTATACTATTTGATAACACCAAAATAAGTAATAAAGCAATTAAAACACAATGAGCCATCTCATAGCCGAGTCGTACCAGCTGATCAATGTATTAAAAAAGAACATAGCTAATCTGTGTCTACTATTTGGCTACAAAAATGAATCAAAACATTCATAAATAAAACTATAGTGACTATAGTTATTGGCATAGACGTTTTTCTGTGTATTTTCAGGTTTCAAAATGCTTTCTTTCTAATCTCGTCCAAAAAATTGTGAAAATAATTGAAAAGATCAAAATCGTTGAATCCATGTTAGAATATTTCACATTTATTTTATACATAATATACAATAATAATTTTTACTGGTGGTAAGACCTCTTGTGAGTTCGCACGGGTAGGTACCACCACCCTGCCTCTTTCTGCCTTGAAGCAGTAATGCGTTTCGGTTTGAAGAGTGGGGCAGCCGTTGTAGCTATACTTGAGACCGTAGAACTTATATCTCAAGGTGGGTGGCGTATTTACGTTATAGATGTCTATGGGCTCCAGTAACCACTTAACACCAAGCGGGCTGTGAGCTCGTACACCCATCTAAGCAATAAAAAAATGCATTAGATACATTTATTAAATAGGCCGTCATTCTTAGCCAGTGAAAATATCAACAAATAATATTACGAAAATAACTATTAAAATAATATTATAGTACGTCACTGTTTACACAGTTTTCGATACAATCACCCACAATGTTTCTTGGATTCGACGAATGAAATCACGTTCACCAGAACGGAATCCCGGGGTTAAACAAATATTATTGTTAACTAAACGGAGCACTCCGAACTTAAATAAACATAATAAATTTTATATAAAACACTTTAAACATGTTTACGCTTAAATTGTCCCGGGTTTTTGAAGTGAAACTTCTTTAGAATCGAATGAAGTCGTCGTGGCCTAACGGATAAGACGTTCGGTGCATTCGTGTTGAGCGATGCGCCGGTGTTCGAATCCCGCAGGCGGGTACCAATTTTTCTAATGAAATACGCACTCAACAAATGTTCACGATTGATTTCCACGGTGAAGAAATAACATCGTATAATAAAAATGAAACCCACAAAATTATAATTTGCGTAATTACTAGTGGTAGGACCTCTTGTGGCGTTTCGGTTTGAAGGGTGGGGCAGCCGTTGTAACTATACTTGAGACCTTAGAAATTATATCTCAAGGTGGGTGGCGCATTTACGTTGTAGATGTCTATGGGCTCCAGTAACCACTTAATACCAGGTGGGCTGTGAGCTCGTCCACCCATCTAAGCAATAAGAAAATTAAAAAAATAGAATCTTTGGGTGTGATTTCAAACTCGATGAAACGAAAAAATGAAACGTGAAGTTAAAATATCAATTCACAGAGGGCGCTACCTTATACTATAAAAGATGATTTACAATTATTTATATTTAGTTTGTTATCAACAGATGTCGCTGCACGTAAATTCAACAAGTCCTGAATCGCTATGACGAGATGTTACACAGTTGATAGAGGTTCTTGTATTCCTCTTGCAAAATCATACTTACCTGGTGGAAAGATACTGTGATCGTGCAGGTGGTTCCCCCAGGGTGAGGCTGCTCCGTACTAGACTTGCGCAAAACATCACTTGCCAATGTAATGTGATATGACATCACTTCTACAGACAGGTGATATTACTCGAAAACATTGCACATCACTCTTAACATTACTCGGTGCGTTCAATAGATACTGTGACTAGACTTGCGCAAAACATCACTTGCCAATGTAATGTGATATGACATCACTTTTACAGACAGGTGATATTACTCGAAAACATTACACATCACTCTTAACATTACTCGGTGCGTTCAATAGATACTGTGACGACGAATACATTGTATCTATACACCCGAATCATTACTTAAGTGATGTGTTCATACACATCACTTAGGTAATGATTCGGGTGTGTCATTACAGTAGTGTATTACAATACAAAGTATGAACTTTGTATTGTAATACACTGTTATATTACTTGACAGAGATTGACTTACTTAATAATATAATAATTTTATTTTTTACTTAATATAATTTATTGCGGGATGAACGGATTTCATATGGCGACTTAGACTGCAAATTGAGCTCGACAATAATGTTAATATACGAGAGCAGTAGATGCATTGTTTCGGCGCGGTCTCCTCAAAATGCATCCAAAGAGGACTGTACTTTCATTCTTATACTTCGTATAAGTATTCGTACTTATATTACATACTTTCACTTATTAAACACGCATTAAAACAAATAATAAAACTATTTTCAAACAAGTGCTTAAGTAATTCAAACACAAAAATTAATATGAAATACATATTACTAAACAATTACGAGCGACTAGCGATTTTACAAAAGTTGCGAATTAAAAATTAAGTAACTACTTGCGGGGAACTACTGGCTGGCCGCATGAAAAATATAAACACAAATACCTATATTAAAATTCAGACGTACCATAGGTATAAAAATGTACCTAGCGGCCAGGGCATACGGTTCTAAATCACTAGGAATAATTCCGTGTCGCTTGCTCATTTATTTTGCGTAGATCGGTCTGTCTCGCTCGCTCGGTTCCGTTCGTGTACTAAGCAACATTACACGACAAAGAAAGAAACATGTTGGGTGATAGTGTGATGTTTGTTTCCTTCGCGTAATGTGTGATGTTGCATTACATCGTAGAGTAATATTACCGGAGTAATATCACTCGCATTACTTACACATGTCTAACTGTGACGACGAATACATTGTATCTATACACCCGAATCATTACCTAAGTGATGTGTATGAACACATCACTTAAGTAA